AGATGATACTGTATAGAGAAATGGTAGTCTTTCACAAACTCTAACCATCTGCGCTGTCTCATATTCAGCTCCCGTTGAGTGAACAAATACTGCACACTCTTGTGATCACTAAATAATCTGAAGGACTTGATGAATGCTGAATATAAATATATTCAAGTCCCTAAAGACTTAAAGTGATACTTCTATCCATAGTTAGACTAATTTATGTTTAATGTGTGTTTGTAGGTACTTTCCTAGAGAAATGGTTAAAACCGGGACTTTATGACGATATCGAAGCTTATAAAGTTGTTCCCGGTCATTCAGAGCAAGCTGAGAGCTTAAATTGTGAAGTTTCAAACAATTCAAGCCCTAGAGCTCAAACCCAAGTGTTGAGGCTCGAGCATCACAACAAAGAAGAGAAGAAAAGTCAACAAGGCCCAAAAGCTGGAGCTTTGTACCTTAGTGATCAAGCCTTAACTTAAGGTGCTCGAGCCTTACCTAAGGGTGCTCGAGCCTTGACCCTCAAGCTCGAGTATGGGGCGTCAGAAATTAAAGAGTTGATTTTAATTGAAAGGCAATACTCCCAGGTCTCGTGCCTCACCTCTAGGATCAAGCACCATCCACTGATGTTCGAGCCTTGACCCTCAAATGATCGAGCCTGGTACCTAGTGCTCAAGCCCATAAAGTTTGGATCGAGCAATGTTAAAAGAGACGAACCCCAAAAATATTCTAAGTGTTGAAAAAAAAGACGCTTCAAAAAATAGTTGAAAAAATTTAACTAAGTGTCAAAGTGAAGATCGAGCACCAATTTTTAAAGCTCGAGCATCAATCCAGAGAAGCTCAAGCATGAACCCTAAAGCTCGAGCCTCTGTTCCTAAAGCTCGAGCCTTCCATGACATGTCAGATTTAAAGTACGGGATTGCTCTATTTATCAACCGTATTTCATCCCAGATGGGCCAGAAGACCTAAAAGCCCACTAGATCCTTATTTTCTTTTATAAAAGAAAGCGTAAGCCTTGATAGAAGAGGTCGAAAGTTTAATACCTTTTTATGGTGTTATTCAAAAGGCTGGTAGCGTGGTGGCTTTTAGGGTTCCTACAACCTTGAAAGTGAGGATCCTAAGAAGAGAAGTGCCATCCGTGACGATAGAGACAACTCCAACATAGATGATATCTAACCTCGTCATGAGCAGCTAATTCCTCTCTTAGGGCACTGATGTAACCCAATATGATATTATAGTTTGATTGTTTTAACTCTGGGGTTTTATTTTAATGTATGATATTTTCTTGATTATATGACTATGAGCACTTGAGACAACTCAAGTGGTTTTCATGCTTTAGTAGAATATAAACTGTTATTCCCTTGTCTTAGATGTAATAGTTTATGTTTTATTCCCAACCTATCTTGTTGTGCGGTATCTAGCGGAGCCCTGTCGGATATAAGAGTAGAGGTCATATAATGGTACTCTAATGCTTTTTGCAAAAGAAGGTTTTCATAGTCTATGCTTAAGAAAGGTGGATTATTTACAAAAGAGTAAGAGTAGTTAGAGTAGGTAGGTGGATAATCATTGCTAACCGCAGATAGGTTATAGTTAACTAATTTTGTAAAACATCTTTCTTTAAACTCCGAATTGAACGAATGTTATTGAGTTTAATTCATTTGTAAACATTATTGGTTAAATTCCCAGAGTTGATTCAATTGACCATAGTATGATGATTGTGGTGAAGTCAAAGCCCAAAGATCTCTCTCTCTGATCATTTAATTTAGTTTAATTCACTCTAGTTAAATATTTTATTTTAATTTTAGTTTGTCAAATCGTGACAACCAACAAACTTTCTAACCAAGTTACCTGTAAACCATTAGGACTAAAATAAAGACTATGCAAATCTCACTTCCTTGTGACATCCTCTTTACGTAGAGCTATCCTACACGGAATCATTCTATTGTGAGACACAACAATTTTTGGCGCCGTTGCCGGGGAGATTAGTTTTTGTTTAGTTTTTAATTAGTTCATTTTGGTTTACCAGTCTTCGGACTTTCTGATATCTCACCTTAATTCTTTTTCTTTTCAGGTACAAATTAGCAGTGGGGACAAAGACGCTTAAGGGATAAAAAGTTTCGGTTTATTAAACTCTTTTATGAGTTTTACTGTTTTTCTATTACTTGGAATACTTTCTTTTTGTTACTGTTAAGATTAGTGGAACCAGTACATGTTAACTCGCCAAAATAGGTCAAAACCTTTAGTGTATGATCCTGAAATAGAGAGAACTTTTAGGCAGTTAAGAAAACTTAAAAAACATTTGAATAATATAGATAGTTCCTCTGATAACATGGTTGAACAACGTAATGCACCGGGTAATAATGGTAATGGTAATGGAGAACGGGATCCACTTGTTCCTCCACCATAACCACAATCGAGGGACCATTTCATTCCTACCACATATACTTCCCTTTCGTGTTTTGTTTTTCCAGATGCTGATGTAACCCATTTTGAGATCAAGCCTGCTATGATCCAAATGTTTCCTACCTTCCATGGGTATGCTACAAAGGATCCTTATAAGCATTTGGATGTGTTTTTGGAATTGTGTTCAACTACCAAGTTGATCACTCTTACCAATGATTCATTCAGAATGCGTCTTTTCCAATTTTCTCTTATGGACAAAGCAAGAAATTGGTTACAGTCCCTTCCAGCAAATTCCATATCTACATGGCACATGTTGCAACAGGAGTTCATGAAGAAATACTACACTGTGGGTAAAACCATACAAATGAGAAGAGAAATCATGTCGTTCTCCCAAATCCTGGGAGAACAGCTCCATGATGCATAGGAGAGATATAATGATCTTCTAAGAAAGTGTCTACACCATGATATTGCTCAATGGAACTTAATACAATTTTTTTATGATAGACTTACAGATTCTTATAGAAATACGGTTAATGCTTCCAGTAATGGAGCTTTTCTACTTAAGAATCTGACTGAAGCTTGGGAACTGTTTGAGGCCCTAAGTGAAAACTCAGTGCAATGATTCACAGCCCCTCAGCCAATGAGGCAACCCTTAGAGCAAAGGGACAAGAACAAGCACTGCGCCTATCATAGGGATTACAGGAATACAACCAATGATTACAGATCCCTTAGGCAGCAAGTGGAGAACATGATAAGAATTGGCAGAGTACCTCATACCAAAGGAGTACGTGAAGCCTCGGGAGGTCAATCCTCGGAAAGTGGAAGACAATCAAATAAAGGTCATCCATGCAATACATAGAAGATCTGAGGACGACCAAAAGTCAGAAGAAATATATCAATCTAGACTGAGGGCAGCCCATAAGCTAAGAAAGTTGTCCTTGAAGAACACTATCACCTCGGGCAGTATCAATATTGGGTTCGGCAATGGAGATTTATCCAAAGTTCAACTTCCCTACGAGGATCTACTAGTCATCAGTCTTCTAGTGGTAAATTGCATTGTCAAAAAGGTTTTGATAGACCCAGGTTATAGCGCTAATATTCTCACAAGGGTAGTCTTTGAGTAGTTGGAGCTCCTGTCATCATCAATTCGGCCCACCTCTAGTCCTTTGATGGGGTTCGATGGCACGAAGGTGGACCCCCTTAGGGTGATTGATTTATCCGTTACTACGGCAAAAAGGACATTGAAGGAGAACTTTGTTCTAACAAAAATCCATCATTCATACAATCTTATTATGGGAAGAGGTCGGATTAACCGAATGAATGGGGTTCCATCTACCCTTCATCAGGTGATGCGATGCTTGTCTCCGGACGATAAGGAGGTTATTAATCTTTAGGGAGATCGGGTCGCAATGAAAGAATGCTACATGTTAACACAGAATGAAGCAAAGAAGATGGTCAAGTAGCCCCAACCAATTGCGACTCCTAAAAGTATGTCCAAATAGAATTATAGAGCCCTCTGCCCAAGTATTTGAAAGCGGAGGATGAAGCTGAAGCTACAAAGCCTACTGAGAAATCCCTTAAGGCTGTTAAAGTTATCCTCGACGACCCCAGAAAATCACCTATATAGGCTCTTCCACCATAGCCAAAGAGAAAAAAACGTTAGGTGCTATCATTCGACAGAACGCAGATGCTTTTGCCTGGGATCATTTAGACATGGTAGGAATCAGTCCTTCAATCTCATGCCGCAGCCTAAAGGTGGATCCGACATTTAAACCAGTTAAGCAAAGACACAGAATGTTTACTCCTGAGCATAATCAAATCATTGCTGAAAAAGTGAACAAACTCCTTCAAGCAAGCTTCATCCGAGAAGTGCACTATCCACAATGGCTCTCGAACGTGGTGGTAGTTTAGAAAAGAATAGAAAATGGAGAGTGTGCATAGATTTTACCAATCTTAACAAGGCTTGCCCTAAGGATAGCTTTCCACTACCCAAGATAGAACAGATGGTTGACGCTATCACTGGTTATGAAAGACTCACATTCATTGATGCTTATTCCAGGTATAACCAGATCCCTATGAATCCAGAGGATGAAGATAAAACTGCCTTCATAACAGAGAAAGGCACCTACTGTTACAGAGTCATGCCCTTCGAACTCAAGAATGCTGGGGCAACTTACCAGCGTCTCGTTAACAAGATCTTCAATAAAATGCTGGGAAAGACAATCGCGGCCTACATCGATGACATGGTAGTTAAAAGTGTGAAGAAGGAGGATCATCCTAAGTACCTCTAAGAAGTCTTTGACACTTTGGGAAAGTATGACATGAAGTTGAATCCTTCTAAGTATTCCTTTGTGGTCTTTTCAGGGCAGTTCCATGGCCATGCTGTCAACAAGAGAGAAATAGAGTTAAGCCCGACTCAAGCTCAGGCCCTTGTACAAAATTAGGAACCAAAAACTCGCAAGGAAGTACAGGTTTTGACTGGCTGAATCGTAGTTCTTAGTCGCTTCATCTCTCGGTTATCAGATAAGTGTAAACCATTCTTTGATGCAATAAGATCCAAGAATAAGGATATATAGGGACCTCAACAGCAAGTAGCTTTCAATCAATTAAAGTGTTACATGGCTGAACCTTCAATTCTGTTTGCTCCGAAGCCTAGTGAGATTCTCGTTATGTACTTACCAATCTCCAGCATAGCCACAAGTGTCGTACTGATTAGAGAAGAATGGAAGAATCAGTATCCAGTCTTCTACATAAGTAAGACAATGATAGATGCTAAGACACAGTACAGCAAAGTAGAGAAGATCATACTAGCACTGGTGTACACAAAGAGGAAGCTTCGGCATTATTTTGAGTCTCATAGCATCGTAGTCTTAACCAACTACCCCATACGAGTAATTTTTTCCAAGCCAGACTTGTCCGGAAGAATAACTAAGTGGGCAATCGAACTCAGTCCCTTCGATATATCCTATGAGCCAAAGGTGTCACACAAAGGTCAGGCATTGGCTAACTTCCTCCTTGAGTATGAGGGTAAGCCCGAAGAGCCAGATCCTTCCGAGCCACAATGGGAGCTTCGGGTATACGGTTCCTCGAACCTAACGAGTGCTGGGGCGGGGATTGTTATCACAACCGCTGATGGCACCAAGTTGCAACAGTCAATTCGCTTGACTTTTCCTGCTATTAACAACGAAGCCGAGTATGAGGCCTTACTCGCCGGCCTCCGGTTAGCAAACCAGCTCCAGGTAAGGTGTCTAAAAGTTTTTAGTGACTCCCAACTTATAGTGAATCAGGTGACAGGCAAATATCAGCCCAAAGAAGAAAGAATGAAAGCATACAAGGAGGCTGTAGAGAGTGTTGCACGTGGATACGATCAAATCGAGTTCTACCAAGTACCTCGTGTTGAGAATTCCGAAGTAGATCAACTGGCCACAACAGCATCTTCCTCAAACAAAGATTTAATCCAGATAGTGCCAATAGACATCCTAAATGAACCCAATATAAGTCCTCGACAACAGATAATGGTGATCCCGAATATTTCGCGAGAGCCATGCTGGATGGATCCACTGGAAGCCTACCTCAAGCATGGGACTCTTCCAAACCAGAAAGCCAAGGTAAGGAAACTCAGGGTCACAACAGCCAAATATTCCATCATTAATAACCAGTTGTATCGGAAGTCATTTTCAAGTCCTTACCTGAATTACTTAATCCCCACTGAGGTCCTCGTGATATTAAAGCAAATCCATGATAGGGATTGTGGTAACCACTCCGGTGGCAAATCCCTGGCACTTACGGTCTTAACTCAAGGTTACTTCTAGCCATACCTGGCTCAGAACGCTGAAGAATATGCCAGAAGATGCAACAAATGCCAGCGACATGGCCCAATGAAACATCAGCCTACTGAGGATTTGCACGCAATGGCGAATCCATGGCCATTCGCACAATGGGGAATTGATATGGTCAGCCCTTTACCCAAAATTGTGGAGTAAAAGGAATACGTGTTGTTAGCCACGGATTACTTCACAAAATGGGTAGAGGCAAAGGCTTACTCAAGCGTGACCCATAAACAAGTAAAGAGTTTTCTATGGAACAATATAATCTACCGATTTGGAGTGCCAAAAGTTATCTTAATGGATAACGATCCGAACTTGGACAACAAAAACACAAGGAAATTCTTCGCCGAACATAGGATCAGGCAAAAGTTGGCTGCAATAAGCCATCCGCAGGGGAATGGGCAGGCTAAAATAACTAACCGAACCATTTTCAACTGTCTGAAGAAAAAATTGGAGAAGCTTAAATCAAAGTGGCATGAGAATCTACCTTAGGTGCTTTGGGCATATCGAACCACCCCACGACGGCCAACGGGGGAAAGCCCCTTTGCCATGGCCTATGGGTCTAAAGCTGTCTTCCCTACGGAATCAGCAGTGCCTACGCTTCGGACACATGTGTTGCTTGAAGGGAACAATAATCAATAGCTCGAGCATAGCCTCGACCTCTTGGAAAAAAAGAGGAAGGCTGCAGCAATTAGGTTCACTTCATACCAATAACAGTTGCACAATAGTTATAACAAGCGAGTCAGGTTCAGAAGCTTTGTGGAAAGTAATTGGGTGCTGAAGCAAGAAACAACCCACATGAAAAAGTTACAACCCAATTGGACCGAACCCTACAAAGTTACAGAAATGGTAGAGAAAGGAGTTTATCAACTAGTTGAATCTAATGGGCGTCCAATCGCGCATCCATGGAATGCGATACACCTCAAAAGGTACTATCATTAGACGATATAGTCCGCTTGTTTTTCTTTTTCAACTAGACAATATATTTATTTTTCTACAAATATGGTTGTTTATGGCCCGTATAATAAACTCTCATATTCTTGAGTACGTCCTCTCTCTTTTGAATATGTGTTATTTTCCGTAGTCGATGACGTTGGGTACACGTGTGATCAGCGGTCCCTTGAATTCCATAATATTCGGTGCGGGATGCCATTTACTTCATATTTTTTTAGTTTTTCTTTCTTTTCGTAAAAGGGGCAAGACTAGTACCCTACTATGAATTGCTACTATGAATTGATGTTACGACAAGGAAAAAAAAAAAAAAAAAAAAAAAAAAAAAAAAAAAAAAAAAAAAACAACAACAACAAAAGAAAAGATAAAAAAAGGCACAAAGTCAACGATTATTTATGGAAACTATCGAGTGTTTGTTTATGGAAACTATATTCAATTGGACACAACAGATGTTTATATTTTTTAAACTACTTTGAGTTTTTACATAGCAACTTACTTTTACTATTATCCCACACCGATAAAAAATACCTTTATATATTCCTTTATATATAAAAATATTAAACTATTTGAATGCATTGCAAAGAGGGCCCGCTGGTAACAGAAACGGCCCAGCCCAAATGGTGTTCAAAGCCTTGATACCAGTGGACATTCTTTGTAATAATTCTTTTTAAGCCTAACTTCCTGGCCTATAGTGCAAACTCTATTTTTGTCCCACATCAACTAGAAATACAAGGGGTGTATAATTTATATAGTTATGGAGAACCACATCTGATCTCCATGAAGAGGATCTCTGTGAAAGATAGTCTCCCAAGCAAACACATGGGAGACTTCCCAGTCACATTTACTCTTTTTCGTGGCCTCATATCGCTTTTGAATCTTCGGCTTGCCTTGCATGCGTGGTGTCTTTTCCTCTCAGGCTCATAATCGAGGAATATATTGCCTCGGATCCCAAGTGTCCGGCACAATATAATTCCTCTCAAGCTCATAGCCGAGGAATATATCGCCTCAGACCCCAAGAGTCCGGCACAATACAATTCTTCTCAGGCTCATAGCCGAGGAATACATCGCCTTAGACCCCAAGAGTCCAGTATAATATAGTTCCTCTCAGGCTTATAGCCGAGGAACTACATGCCTCAAACCCTAAGAGTCCGACATAATACAATTCCTCTCAGGCTCATAGCCGAGGAATACATCGCTTCAGACTCCAAGAGTCCGGCACACTACAGTTCCTCTCAAACTCCTAGCCAAGGAACCACATGCCTCGGACCTTAAGAGTCCAGCACAATACAATTTGCCTCGGATCCCAAGAGTCCGGCACACTACAGTTCCTCTCAGGCTCCTAGCCGAGGAACCACATACCTCAAACCTCAAGAGTCTGGCACAATACAATTCTTTTTGGACCTCAAGAGTCTAGCACAACACAATTCCTTTCGGACCTCAAGAGTCCGGTGCAATACAGTTCCTCTCAGGCTTATAGTCGAGGAACTATATGCCTCGGACCTCAAGAGTTTGGCACAATATAATTCCTCTCAGGCTCCTAGCCGAGGGACCGCATGCCTCAGACCTCAAAAGTCCGGCACAATGCAATTCCTCTCAGGCTTGTAGCCGAGGAGTATACCGCCTCAGACGATTCAAGTCCGAGGCTACATCAATATGGTTTGAGCCCAAGTGGGGGTAAAAATTCTTTATAGCTGCCACACCTACAGGCCCTTATATTTGACCCAATAACGTACAACCCTTAAAAAGTTTTATCCCACCTCGAAAGCAAATAGAAGACATGAGTGCAATATATGGTGCAATCCCATACTCATTCATCATCAAGAAAGGTGCCCCTTGATAAATAGATCTTTAAGTGAAAGTCAGAGATTAACATATCAAGGGACCCTCTTTCTTGAGCCAATTCTTTTCAAAATCCTCGGATCACGATGATATGAATGCTGCATTGAAAGGTTGGTATTTTAAAGCCCTCAACACGTTCCTCCAAGACAAAGAACTTCATACCTCAAACGCAAAGAATCTAAGTACAAGAAACTGGGATAAAACCCAAATGAGTTAGCAAAAACCTAAGTGGAGGTTGCTGTATTCTTTGACATTTTATCCCCAAAATCAATAAGTCTGATTAATACAATTACTAAGTCAAGAAAGTAATTTGTCCCACATTGAAATAATACACAAAAAAGCAAGTGTTGATATACCTATTCCGCACAAGTTCAAAGCAAGAAGGGTTCCCTTAACGGTTAGATCACTAAATGGTAGAACACTCCCTAGTTAGTGACTGAACTGTCGTAGGATTTCCCATCTTACCATCCTCTCTATTTTTGCTTCAGACCATAAGGAATCTAAAGTCCTTAGAGAAAGAATTTTTCTCAAAAACTTGAGAAACAATTTGGTGACAATATGCAACTTAGATGCATCTGTAGACATGCAAATTTCCGAAGGCAAATTCTCAAAAATAGACATAAAAATTAGAGCAGTTACTGTTCGAAAGCAAAACAAATATTGGTTCAGAGCAGAAATTATACAAGTTAACTTTCTTTTAGGATCAAAAGGAGCAGAATCAAAAGCGTCTACCACAGTCGGACTTGAGGCTAGAGGAGTTAGTAGGTTATAAGACGGTTGAGCTGACGAACTTGGAGCTGAATGGTCCTCCTGTTGAGACTTCACCATTTCAGCAAACAGCACCTCAGCTTCTTGGGCCTTCGAACCCTCAGCGTAAGGGAAGGATACTTTCATATCAATATCAAAGGCTTCCGAGCCTTTCATTTTGTCACCTGAGCCCTGGTTGAAGCCGAACCTAAAGGCTTTTGCACTGGATAAGCATACCAAAGTGGAGTAGCGTCCTTATATTTGTTTCCCAGTAGTGATGTAGATACCAATTGCATCTTTCAAGCGTTGAACCTTAGCCTCCAGTGTCTCCACCTTAGCTTCAAACGCTGTTAAATGATTCTTGTAGACATCCCTTGTTTTAGAGGCAATCTTTGTATTCAAAGCTGCATTCGAAGCCTTCTTTTCAGTATTGCCAAGGTCTTTTTCCAATTTCTTGATGGAAAGAGACTGAGCCTCAGTAGTAGCACACAACGCCATGGTATGGTACAAGCACTACATAGTCAACAATAACAACGGCAGTGTAAATGGAGTGGAAAGAAAGCTGAAGAATTAACAGAGAAGGGAAAAGGACAAACCTCCATAGCTCGAATGAGGGCAGAAGGGAGTAGCTACTCTAGCCCCATATTGCTTATAACCTCTTCGTCCTTAAGTAGCCACATCCCACGTGCAACTGCCAGTGCAACAGATGGATCAGTGACTACCGAATCTCCTGAATGAAGCACCGATTTATCAGTTCTGGAGAAGGTTGGCTTCCAAGCTTCTCCTTTATCCACTAAGATAAAGGCTTGAACCTCCTCTTCAGGTGCCACCACCATATCTTTGTTTCCTTTTTTCTTCCCAAGGTCAATACATTTACCTTTGGAAGAAGAATGAGGGTTTTTCTTAGTTTTCTTAAGAAGAGGTTCGTCAACCTCTTTCTCATGCTCAGTCGAGCGCACAACTACAAAAGGTTCATTGGTTTTCTTCTTCAGCGCTTCGGCTCTTTGCTTCTCGTCCTCAGTTAGAGGAAAGCTGTCGAAAGAAGGAACTGCCAAATCCATAAGCTCAACAACTACAGTGCTAGAAATGATTTCTTTTAAATTGGACAAAGAGAGTTGCTCCTCAACGGATGGGGGATCCCTCCAAACCTATTCTCCGAGAAATGAGAGCCTGTTCTTAGCTGCTGAGGAAGGGAAAGTCGCTGAAAAAACACCAAGAAATTCATAAGTATGACGAAAGAGTAATACTTGGCATGGGAAGCAACTAGAGCACTTATCATAAAGGAAGGGAAAACATTCTATACCGAAGTTCCCAAATTTGCGTGGGATTGGGAGTTTGCTAGATTGAGACACAACCCAGAGTTCCCTTTAACAATTATCATCCTTTCTTTCCATTTATTCTCAGAATTGGGAAGATCCGTACATATCCTCTATTGAAGAGAAGAAGTA